CCACACGATGTATCGACTGTTAGCTCCACTCCTTGATGGCTCTGCCTGAATACGAAAAGCTTTGAAATCTACAACCTGGTGTGTGATCGTGCGGACATCCACCCCCTAACTTGGGGTCCAGCATCATCAAGTTAGGCTTCATGATCAGCCAAGGGTTTAGCTTCGCCCCACGTGCCGAGGCTCCGCCGCGTTTTCTCCCGAAGATCCAGGACAAGACTGTCACCGTCAAACTCAATGGAGAAGGTGGCTTGACTTGACACATTATTCAGCGGTCATCGATGTCAGCCGTCCATCGTGAGTCACACATTGGGTACCTTCCCTATTGATTGCCAATGGGTTGGGAGGTTATCTATCAAGTCCTTTAGATAGCTCGTCACTTAGACTGTATCGAGCTGGGTCTCCCCTGCATCGTCATAGGCTTTGAATACAAGCTCAAATGACCCCTAAGACGTTTACGGCCCAGGCGTCCTGTTGTCTGAATTACAGATAGGTCTAGAGCTGCGCTGGGTGTGTTGTGCTCATCATTTCATCTCAGTTCTTCCTGAGCGCCATGGGTCTGTCAAGAATCCTGATTGAACTGAGCGAACAATGAGGAAAATCTCTTCATTACTTCCCCATTGGAGCGATCATTGACAATCAATTGAGCGGGTATTTCCATTAATGGTTTCTACGAAGACAGCTCGTCGGGTATTGGGTGTCTGTGGAAATATTGGGAGAAACGATTCAGCCTAGTCCGTTGGGGACCTCGCACCTACTACGAGCGACGAGCAATAAGACTGTTCGTAGCCTCCAGGGTGTCATTGTATTGAGTAGTGAATAGATGAGACAGCGGGTGGCTTGTGCACGGTGCGGCCAGTGTTATCAGAGGCCTGGACCGAATTGCTTTGCCCGTGGGGAGAGTGTATAAAAGTGGACGGAGATAGCGGAATCGGCCGAGGCTCCCGAGAATAGTCTTTCGTCGCGTTACCTTTTCATCGCGCCGCCCAGCGACCAACGCGCAGGCACTCTCGGGATGCCAGAGTTCGCGTTCGCGACTCTTGTTACGTCCGATGAATACGCTAAAGGTGCTCTAGTCGTCGCCGCTGCCCTTCGCGAGCTGCATCCATCCCCTCCAGCTGCTCCAGAGGTTCATTTTGAGACTGTGTGCATCGTCACGCCCGAAACGGTTGATGTCAGTACTATCAGGGCTCTTAGGAAGGCCTTTGACACCGTCATTGGCGTCGAGGTGATTGATGGGGACCAGAGGGACGGCCTAGCGTTGTTGGGTGAGTGTCTTGATTGTATGCGCGAACGCTTGAACTCTTTGCTCAACACCTGTGGCCACCAACTTGTATCTCTCAGGGAGACCTGACCTCCACTCTGTCTTGACAAAACTCCATGTGTTCCGCCTTACCCAATACTCAAAGGTCATCTTTCTGGACGCCGATGTTCTTCCCGTTCGACCTCTCTCCCATCTGTTCACCCTCCCACACGAGTTCAGCGCAGTGCCCGATGTTGGGTGGCCGGACATCTTCAATTCGGGCTTCATGGTTCTCACCCCTGGTGAAGACAAGTTCGAGCAGATTCGCGAGCTTGTGAAAACGACTGGAAGCTGGGATGGCGGGGATCAGGGTGTGCTCAATGAATGGAGAGGCGAAGACTGGCATCGACTTAGCTTCACTTACAACACTACTCCCACGTCGGCCTATACGTATGTGTGCTTCTTTTCCCTCTCTCTGCGTTCGATTTCCACCACGAACTGACCGCGTCTCTACAAATTCTCCTACTGCCCTGGCCGCTGAACAGCTACGCCCCTGCATATGAGCGGTTTGGATCGAAGATATCAGTGATTCACTTCATTGGACCTAATAAACCTTGGAAATCGGCCCCATGGAGACCACCGTTCGCCCATTCATCCACTTCGACCGCTACGTCACACGGCGGCGCTGCTGCAACTCCTTCGTCCCATGTCTCCGAGTCACCGACGGCAACCTCATCTCCTGACGTCGTGCGCCAATCCTACGCATACGATAAGCTTGTGGATCGTTGGTTCGACATTTATGATCGCCATGTTCGCCCCGTGGAACAAGCACCATCTGCTCAGCCGTTTGAGCCGCTGCATTACGAGCCTGCTTGGGAGGCACCATCCAATACTAGCACGGTTTATGACCTCGATACGCTCAAGCAACTAGCTCTCGAGGGTTCGGGGCACTACCATGCTCCTCTTAGTAATGGCGGTGGTACCTCGTCGGCTGAAGGACACTATATCAGCCTCCCGCTGGATGGGCGAGTAGACCTAATGCGGCCCAGGCCTCCGACTCCACCCCCAGTTGCAGAATCCCAGAGCTCACATGATGCGAACCAATCCTCAGGTGGATAATCCTACCGCTACCTAATTTGAGTTTCTTGCGCTGATTCTAGTCGTTCCGCAGTGACATCCACGCCCGCCATGCGTGCGATTACTCATACCGAGCCACCTCCTCCTCAAGGGGGATCTCGCTCCCCTCCTATGATCCAATGGAACCCTGCTGTGGAACCTCCCCCCAAGGAGTTCATCACACACCCCAATCAATCGAGTATCCCAGACCATTATCCAAATGTTTGGGACGAACTTCCCTCGTCTGTTCCCGATGACCGACCATACAGTAGTGGAGATCCTTTCATGGAGCAATATCATCATGAAGACCAGAGTCCCACGGAGATCCATCACCCACCATCTCCTCATCAAATGCATTTGGTACCACACAAAGCCCCTCCTGCGCCCAAACGCGATCAGTTCTTCCCGGTTATTGCACCTCCTGCGATCCCACAAGAGATTGCCCATCAATACTCTGCAGTAACGTCAAGTGCTCCTAACGCTGTCAAGTCTACTTCTACTTTCCCTTGGGAAGCTCCACGAGCCGCCCCGCGACGTGTATTCCCGGCTGGTGATGCTCCCAAAGTTTTGCCTCCCCCTGCTCGCGACCCGCCAAAGCCTATTCCACAAAATCGTTCCCCATCACCCCTCCCTTCAAATCATGTGCCTGCATCCCGTTCCTCCCATTCCTCCCCGGTTATCCAGACTAACCCGGCCTTGCCCAATATGCCGACTTCATTCCAAGAGACTGTTGAACATGCCCAGAGGCTACTTTCACCCATTTCTGGTGCCGCTGCTCTACCAGCATTCGAGGTAGCTCGTCAAGCGGCACGAAGTCGTTATGCTCCGGGTGATCGTGAAGCTGGTTCACTGACGTACTCGAACGCCTGGGACACTATCCCGAGTATCGACAAGTATGTCTCAAAACTAGTGAAGCCACCCTCGTCTGGGAACCTATCGCGGAAGAACAAGAAGTCTGAACCAGGTGGTGCTCGTGATGGTCGGAGATCACCACCGAAGAGCTATGAGCAAGCAAGAGAGGAAGCAGATGACGGGGATGATGAAGATGATGACGGAGATTCGGGTGATGATGGCCAAAACACTCCTGTTGGAGGACGACGGCGTGTAACTGGGGCAGCCAGCTCAAAGAAGACTCGATCAAGAGGAGGAAGCGAAGCTAGTCCACGTGGCAATCCAACTGGTAGAGTATACATGTCTCAAGGTGTGCAAACGACTCCCAAGTCCACAGCAAGTGTTGGTGTCCAAGTTTCCTTCAGCTCACCAGTCTCCACTCCCCCTCTTCCTGCCCCTGCCCCTGCCCCCACCGTTCCTCTGGTGACTGTCGCATCCCGCCTTCCTGTAGTATATCCGGTGGGACTAGCCTCAGCACGGACATCGCGTGCAGTTGCTGCGGGAGCTCCTCCTATTCAAACTACCCCTCCTCAACCAAGATCCCCTCCAAAAGCTGGCAATCCCTTCAAGCTCTCTCCCACGAAACCACTTTCGCCTCTTGTAGATGATACCATTCCCATCAGCGCCTCTCAAGCTAGTGGAGGTGTAGCCATGGCGCCGTTTGCACTCCCAGCGACGCCTTCTCAAGCTGCTGCATCTCCTGAGCCCCGTGTTCTTGATTCTCCCATCGCATTTGACCCTCCAGCTCCCTCTCGTCGCCGCATCCCTGCCTCCCCTTCTATAACTACTACGAGCACTCTCTCCCCTGGAGCAACCACTGCTGTGCTCAGCAATACCTCGTCCCCCGTTTCTAGCACTGCTACATTGCGCCCTCGCGTCTCCTCCAATGCTAGGGACCCTATGGCGCGTTCGTCCTGGATGAGTACATCCAGTAGTACTACAATCGTTGAACCGATGACAAGCACGTCGTCCCCTGAGGGCATGATCATGCAGCCGCATGAACAAGCTCCACCGAGTCCCCGGGTGGCTACACGCAAGTGGGATCCTGCACGCGGCGTGGATGTGTTCAAACGGGATAGCCAAGAAGTGCTAGCGAGGTTTTTGAGGATGGGGACTTTTGCGGACAGTCCACCTCCGCCTTCGTAGATAGCTATACTTCAAGTTGCTCTTGCAACGAAGGCAGAGCTGCAGTCTCCCCTTCTTGTTTGACTGCGTGTTTCGGTTTCGACGGCTTGATGCCTTTTCCGCTTCGTCTGTTCTGTTCTCGCCCTAGTCTCGTGCCCCTCGATTCGTCTCCGTTTGTTGATTTATTGGGTCGTTCCCGTTTGCCATCTGCCTATCGCCGTTCTATCCTTTTTGGTGGATCCCTCTCCCTCCAGATTCGCGTTCTTTCGTTCGCATTTCCACTCACTATAGACGTACTTATCTCAGTCTCAGTCCCACTCTCACTCTCGCTTCTTTCTCCGTCTCTCTCGCCTCGTGCCTTGTCTCTCACTGTTTCGTTTATCCCTCGCTTAGATTCCTGCACCCTTGTCTCTCGTTTGGCGCTATCTCTCCTGTCTCAGTGTTTCCTACCCATTGACACCCCTCATTGTGTGTATACCCTAGTCTGGAAGTCCTTACTTATATGATTGTCTCTCTGTCCCACTGTGGCATTCGGTCGTGAGCAGTCCGAAGCCCTAACTCCCATGGAGATTTACCCTGAGATGCAAAGTAGGGTCGAGAATGAAGAAGATCAAAAAGGATAGCAAAATACGGGTAGCGAGGTTCGAACTCGCGTCAACTCGTGTTACCGCATGGGAACGAGCTATACTGAACCACTATACTATACCCGTTGCGTTCGGAGAAATCGCCCATAGACCATACTGATCTATACGGCCTTCCACCTGCTAGTCTTGCACCCACGTGCTTCGCTTATGTGCACATATATGTTCTTCCTCCCACTATCTTCGATAAATCCGCAGCAACAGCATCTTTGTGCTGTTCAGTGCTGACAATGATTGTCAGCATTGATAATGCATAATTCTGGGATGCTGCTGCTGCGATCTGGAGATCTGAGCCCTCAAAGTCCATGGACATATGTTACATGTATGGATGCTTTGTGAAAAGCGCTTCCCCGAACGTCTCTTGGCTCGGAAAGGCTCTTGAACGCACCTCCAGCCCTGCACCGGGTGGGTCTTGAGCTCGGCATGGATTCCACTTTATCTTCCACATGCATCACGCCTAGGATGCACGATCATCTTCAAATCAAGGGAAAGCCAGACGCGGTGCGTAGGGGTCACACCTCCACGCCTGCGTGGTTCTCGAGGTGCCTTCTCTTCATCGTGCCTAGGGCTTTGCTTCTTGCCCTGCGCTGGTCCTATGGGAACGCATGTTTCTGACAGAGTTTCTCTAGTATCCTTGGCCTGTGGCTCTATTCTTTCCCCTGTTTGTTCTCGTATGTCGGACGGTCAGAGAAGGCGGCGTTGATACGTCAAGTGAACCTGGAAACTCCTGGTGGCTAGCCATTTGCAGGTCTCATTTGTCATCACCTAGTGCATGAGCAGGCATATAGCGTGATTCTCCTTAGTCGTCCTTTAATGAAACCCGATCGACGATCCAGGATGATCTTTTGCCAGTTACTGTCGAGGTCTCTCTTGATAGCTTCACTTTGAGACTGCCCCGGTTGGTTTCTTTCCCATACGTGGTGCTAAGGGCCGGGAGGCTGAATAATGCCGTTAGAATAGGTCCAATAGCTTTGAGAGCCACCGTTCGAGATCGTTTACTGGACTGGACACGAAATTCTGACTTAAAGCAGCTCGAGGCGGACAAATCCACCAGGGACGATTCTGAGGCCCAAAGCTGTCTTAATGCAATCTGTTCAATTTTGTATCCTAAAGACCGTTGTGTGAGCTACAGAAGCTTCTTAGGTTGGGTGATTGTATTGACATCCTTGGCCTGCCCTGAATCTTTGGGGCTCTGAGGGAAGCAAGATCGAAGATATTTGTAACCGATGCCTAGGCTCGTGGGCCAGTCTCTTGTGAGAGCGAAGAGCTTCTGTAGCTCCCCTTGGCTCGTGTTCGGAGGGTCACTGTGACACGCGCCATCGAATAAAAGGGCAGAGGGTTCGTCCTCAAACCTTCCTCAGTCCCCCCACTACCCCCAAACCCCTCATTAGAGACCCCTATTTCCTTCGCGCCCCCTCCCTCACTCTCTTTCGTAGCCTATAAGATGATCGCATTCCTCCCAATCATCACGCTTCTGGCCTCTGCGCTCCTGCCCGCTGTTGGGGCCCTCCCACTCTCTCCCAAAGCTGGTTCTGTCCGCGAACGCTGTAGTACGTCATATTAGTGCTTTCCCTTTGCCCTTATCGCGTTCGATCTCGCGTTTTCGCGTCCATCGACGCGTCAAGAGTGTTCGCGTCGCGGGCTTGGCGCTCGAACGCGATGTTCAGCTTTCACGACCTTCGTTCCCCGCTGACGCAAACTGGTCCCACTCCTTTGCTTGACAGATTGTCCCAGCGACTCTGACTTCGGCCTCGGCTCATCCGTCGACGTCGGGGCCGTGGTCAACGCTGTGGTAAATACCGGCCTCGGTCTCGGCGCCGGGGGCCATGGGAGCGGCGCCTCCAGTCCCAGTCCCTCGGCCAGCACTGATGTCTCTGTTGATGTGTGGGCTTGGTCTAATGACCTGAACGTGAAAGTGCGCGCGATTGTCGACAAGCTTGGTAAGTCTCTTCGTCCGTAGCCCTCCTCTGCTGGGGCGTACTCTGACATCTCGTGCTTCAGATGGCAACTTCGACCTCAAGACGGGATGCAATAGTATTATTGCAGAGATCAATGCGTCCATTGGATTGTTGGCCGAGATCAAGGTCTACTCTACAGACCATCTTTCTGATCTCGTCAAGTTGTTTGCTCTTCTCTACATCGTGAGTTCTTACCCTCTGTCCTTGTATTCCCCGGCTCACCCCTTCGCCTACAGGACCTTGTGATTGCTATCTACAAGTATAGCTCCTCGTCCATCAGCGCCTGCGTGGACGTCCTTATCCAGCTTGACACCTGCCTGAAGGGTCTCGTCGTGGCTCTTAATGTGCACTATGATGGTTTCATCGGATTGTGCGGCAATCTGTATGTCCTCTGCCACACTTCACTCATTCTCAATATGCTGACCAGCTTTACATCTTGTAGCATCGCGGGTGACGGCCTCAACATAAGCTCCTTCACGCAAATTAGCTTCAAGCTCTGCGCCGCTCTGTTCTTCGGTGCCAGTGTCAACTAGAGCACGCCTCTGCCTGACCTCTACGTTATTCGTCCTTTATGCACGATTTCTCTCACCTCTCTTCTATTTGGGTCCGCTGGGGAAATTTCTCTTCTCATTTTCATACCCGCGTCCCTATTCGCCGACGCACTCCCCACTCTCCTTTAATCATCCGTGGTGGTCGATAGGTTTGACCTAGAAGATCTACTTATCTCCCACTCGTTCTTTCTTTTCGTTCGCTCACGATGTCTCACGTCCTTGTTACGTTACACACTTCCCTGTGTTATAGTAGCCTGCCGTGTCTCGATTATACGTCGCCAAATGCAGCAAACTTTTTTGGCTCTCATGATTTCGGGTACGGAATGAGAGGATGCAGATCCATTCATTGACATTACTAGTATATAATGGCATGCAAGGACAATGAATATATATCTAGATCCGCTAGACCATGGTGGCTGACGCCAAAGTTCTCTCCCGACCATGAGATGCAACGCATCACTAATTGTCCGCCCACGAGCCAATCTCGACGAAATCCATCCGCGGTTGGGGCCAGCTGCAACTAATCTGAGATACCCGGGCAGGGAATGATTACGAACGATTTAGTTTTCGCAGATTCCCTACTGGCGACCCCCGGTGCGGCCGACAACATGAAGTGTATAGGCGGCAGAAATTGACCGTCCATGCTACGCTGGGTGCTTGCGGACCTCACAAACTATGGGCAAGAGAAGCCGCGACAGACATAGATAGATAATAAGTTTAAGAAGCCCTGTATCTAGCCTTGGTCTATGGGTTGTCGGGAGCGAGAGCAAGTCATCATCGCCTGTTGCCTTGTTCTTCAACGTTAATGGGGAGTGTGGTTCCGTTGATTGATGAGGTGGTGGGAGCACGAGCGAGATCGGTATGAAGCGCGAGGTAGACCTGTTTGAGAATGGGGAACTTGGGGAGGATGGACTGTTCATGTGGAAAATTGACAAGTGGCAGGGTGGGTTGGTCAGTTAGGGAACAGGGAAAGAGTTGGGACCGCAGCATCGAAGTAGTTTTGAGTACGCACCTCGAATACGACGCGCACTGTGACCTTCTTGCTCGCACTCGGAGTACGGTTACTATTGCTGGTGCCAACGATGACAGCGAGATAGTATCGCACGTTCCATCCATATAGGGCCTCGTTTATTATTATGTCTTTTATTGATGGGAGCGGGATAAAGCTTCGTTTGGTGGAGACTACGAGGCCGCTGGGAAGTACAAAGTGATGGACTGGTGGGAAGCCGAAACGCGTTTCCAGTTGGAGTCCGTGCGGTGAGAGGGAGAGAATTGATTCTGAGGTGTTTCGTTTAACCATTATAGGCTGTAGGGTTGATAAACAATACACTGGCACACACCAGAAAGAATGGAACGCGACTTGACGAGCAGCCAGCTTATGGCGAGCGTAGCGCCTGCCACCAGCCTCCATTTTTCCTGGATTAGACACACGCGTTAGAGGGAAGTAAGCTGAATGCTTCGAGGACCCACATCTACCCAGAGCCAGCTTAGCATGATCAGGCATATGATGCTCCACGTCGTTGCATCCAGCCAGCGCGCCTTGCTCGTAACATGATATTCTTTTATCTCATCGGCATGGGTTATGACACTGAAGGAGCTTAAATCTGGTGTTAGTAGAGTTTTATTGTCTGGTTTTTGGCGAGAGGAGGGACTTGAGGCCGACGATACAGAGAAGGAGGATGTATGCATGAATTTGGCTCGAGTTACCTGCCTCGGGTCAAACAAACAAACAAGCAAGCATTCGATCATTCCTTTTCCTTTTTCTTCCTTCCACTGTCTTGGATGAAGCTGAGTTATTGACTGAAATCTATAATTTGGCTCCCCGCAGATTCCCCTTACCGCTCAGCCAACCGCGTGCGTATATCCTTGTATTCCACTGATGAGAAAACTGGGAACCCTCTCGGAAACATGGGGGCTAAACGCCCCTAAGTTTCTCTAAACTCATACTCTGGACTATTGGTTCACGTGGTTTCCATTTCCGCGGCTACTTCTTTTGCTCGTCTCTCTCTTTTCATCTCAGTGTGATTGTCAACCTGACCAGCAATCTCTCATCAACGCCGTGGCCTGGCCAGCTCCTGCACTCTAGTGGGAGATAACATCCTTACCTTCCTCACTCGATCTAGTCTCGTACTGAGTGAGTGAAGCTGGTCAAGGGGGGGTATCACCCCCGTCGTGGCTATGTGCACTAGTCCTTATTCCTACTGCTGGTGGTTCATGTCTTCTCACACCGTCGGAAGTCCTCTGTATATCCTGAATACCTTTGCTACCATGAAACAAGCGTGTATTTCCTCTGCCTTGAATGGTTGAATGATGGCAATCTGCATATGTTTATGATCCACACTCAGAACTCTCTCGTTGGATAAATGATACATACCCCTCGACCTCGCTACTCGCTCGCTGACGCAGGCTAACTGGCTGTGAAATCTTCGGCTTCGAGGGGGTGTAAGGCCTATGCCAATGTAGGTTTGAACCAAGCCGGCGGGTTCAAGGTTCGAGATAAGCTTCGCTTGGCCACGATTTTTTCCTCCTGGTTTTTGCCTTAGGTCAGGAACGTGGCAGT